ACATCTTTTTTTGCTCCTGCTATTGCCTCTCTGAAGCTTCGAACCTTATCCACATGCTTTGACGTCTTACTGGTTAGATCTTCAAACTTGTTTTTATACCATGAATCCATCTCCTAAAAGAGAATAGAATGTCACGACTTTAACTCAAAAGCACTTTGAATTGCCTTGTGGCTGAAATGTACTATATAAATGAACTTGACTTGACTTAAAACATACATGAGTTGGTTACTTCAGTGCCAATGTTTGATTATTTTACCTGGAGATTTTTGGCTGCAATGTCATCATACTGGGTTTGGATTTGTTTCAAAGCAGCTGCCAGGTCAGGCAGGGCAAATGCACTCTCAGCAGAGGCGTGAGCTGCATAGATCTGTTTCATCAGCTCGTCTATTTCCTGGAAGAAAATACATCTTTTGTAATCATGAAAATCAAAGGTAGCCTAACTGTGTAATTTGAATATGTTATCAACCTGTTGATGGACACGCTTTAGGAATTCAATTTCAACTTCCAGATGCTCCAGCTTCTTCTCCAAGACAATGCGTGAGGAGGTGGCTTTGTCGACATCCTGTAAAAATAAAGTGATTTATTTATTTATTCTGGACTGTAATGGTTATGATGATGAGGAAGATATTGAATTATTTAATGTAACCTACTGGACGGAAGGTTTCAATGTCTAACTCTGCTTTCCTTCGCAGCTCCACTGCCTCCTCATATTTGATTTTTATGGCCTCAAGTTGAGCAGCTGTGGATTGCTTAGCCGCCACAGAGATTTCCTGAAAACAAGGAAGCCAGAAGTAATATTGTAGGTCCTCCATATAGGTTGTCTGTTAGTTTGGAAGTGTGTGTGTGTGTGTGTGTGTGTGTGTGTGTGTGTGTGTGTGTGTGTGTGTGTGTGAGGATTTGTGTAAAATGTAGATCGTCCTCTTTTGCATTTATTTGTGTTAGTTCACGTGTGTGTGTGTGTGTGTGTGTGTGTGTGTGTGTGTGTGTGTGTGTGTGTGTGTGTGTGTGTGTTGTATGTTTTGTGCAAATGTATAATCTAGCCATCTCAGCAGTGCATAAAACATAGCTGAAGACAGCTGTACTGCATGACACCTTAACACGCTCAGGCGCCTCTCCATTTGCCTGCCAGGAGTGAGACTGTTACCAGGTGAGGAACCTTGAAAACACCAAGTTGACGTCTTGTACCGTTGCTTGGATGATTTTTCTGCAGCTCAGTGATGTGTGAACCTCGCCGGAAACAAGGAATTCTGTCTTTATGCTCTATTGAGTGGCTGAAATGGGAAAGAAGAAACAGGCGATATGTGGCTTTAGGAATTCTGTCTTACCCGCTGAACTCGCATCTGGTCAGCAATCTTTTTCAGCTCCCTCAGCTGTTCCTCATATAAGAGGCGCAGACCTGATGGCTTCTCAAAGCGGTTCTGGTAGGCCTCAATCTCGGCTTCCAATAGCTTGTTTTGTTGCTCAAGGGATCGAACCTGTAAAACACAAGCTTTTAAGCAAGGCCGTACATATGTTTCATGATTTTTGCAATGCAAAGTGATCCGTTGAAGTCTGTTTTACCTTGTCAATGTAGACAGCCAGTCTATCATTGAGGACGACCATCTCCTGTCTTTCACTTGTGCGCGTGCTGAGGAATTCCTGGTTCTCAGCTGCAGCCACATCCAGGTCCATAGCAGGTTCTCCACTCGGCCCAACACACACCATGGCTCCTGCGCTGACCCTGAAAATGAGAAAAAAAGTGTATCCATTGAATAAAAAAATCTTCATTAATTAAAGGCATAGCTTGAGAACGATGGACTTGTCTAACCCTTACCCTTAACGAAAGGTTAAAACACTATGACAAATTCTCTTTGGAGATGAAAATGTAACTGTTAATCATAAACCTACTTCTGTGTAGGCACAGAGCTTACCCTGCTCCAACCATTCGAGTCCTGCGTGCTGCCGAGATGTTCCTTTGGCCCACCGACTCCACACGCATGCTGCTTGCCCCTGCTCTGCAGCCATAGCCGGCAGAGGCATGACGGGCATCTCTCCTGGTCGGGGATGGACTGGACACCCGGACCTGGTAGGATGAGCTGCTGCTGTCCTCAAAATGACGACGATAAGACGAGATCCTCTCAGGGCTGTGGCTCATGGTGGCGGCAGTGACTGTGTTTCCTCAGGCTCTCTGATAAAGGATGGTAGAAATACTCAGGCTGTGGTCAGTGGTTTACTGGACTTCACGGCTACTCCACCTCGTTTGTACTCCCTGATGGTCAATCCACTTTCAGGTTTTATACTTCCCATAGCGAGCCATGTCCCAGGTCTGCCAAAGACAGCCCAGTTTATGAACCAACACCTGAGGAATCTCGAACCTCTGCATCAACTCAAGCCTGAGCTGCTGCTCAGATATCTGTCAGCAGCTTGTGAGAAGCAGAGCTGAACTGGGATAGTGAATGATGGCATTGGTGGAGGCTTCACCCATTAGGTTCCCTGCAAAATATAGAGAGTGAGCATGTATCTTTCCACCTTTATAGTAACAGTGAAGAGTTTTGCAAGGGTAATGGAACATCCACCCCCAGTAGTGTACACTACAGCACCGAGCAGTAGATAAACAAGCAGGCTAATGGGGAAGCAGGCATGGCCCACTCAGTCACAGCAGCCGGTAGGTACAGCAATGATGTGATCTGCTCTGATGGGACGAGGGACTTTAATTGAATGCTGAGCTGAAGCTTGAGGGTGACCTGATGAGAAACAGAGCAATAAAGAGCCCCGGCAAGATTTGACATAAATTAGTGCTTATTAGTCTGGTCTGTTTTCAACATATTAAAACTGGAGTATGCAGAGAAAAAAGAAAATGGAATTAACTGCTTCTGAGGGAAAATAAGGAGGCAGAGAAAGGGAGGGGGTCTGGAAGTCTGGTATTTACAGTTGACACGGCACAGTGAAGTAAGGAGAGATAACAGTGGCCAGGTCATTTCAGGGCAATTCTTCATTGACACTTAGGGTCACTTTATCAGGGGTCAGTAAATATATCCTGCAAGCAAAATGAACCAGCATAGAATACATACCTGTCATTAAATATAGCTTTTTAACACATTTTAAACAAAATCCATCTTTTGAAATGTTGTATTTATGTGTTGTACTTCTGAAAGCTGCATTGATGGATTAAGCAAGCATCTATTTCCCCTCATAGACCTCATAACTTGCAGCTGCATGAGACTTTTGGGAAGAGGTGTAATTATATGTGAACAATTTATCTCAACTCAACTCATCAGCTCTTTTCTTTTGCAACCAAATAACATCCCTAATCATTGTGGTATTTTCTGTTACAGCATTTATAGAGCCTTACTTCAGTGCCACTGCTAACACAAGCTCACTTACGGACATAAATTATCCTTTCAGCCAAACATGGCTTATATGAACGTAAGTTACAGAGGGCCTCGACCTACTTTTTTCATTTTTGTTTTCCTTATTTCACAAGACAAAACATAGGTTGCAAGCTGTGTTTACACTTCAATTATTTGAGTTTCTTGGTCTGCATGCTGCATACTGTTTTAAGAAATAAGCAGTAAAAGTTTTGAAATTCTGAGGCAGATTCTTTAAATATGTAGAGTCACTCAGAGATCAGTGTTCTCTTCAGTGACAATAATTGACTGACAGCTAATTGCTTCAAAGTTTTGCCAGAAACTTGGATAATATCAATAGACCAAATAAATCTCAACAAATTGGGCTTTTTGGAATTTCACCTTAAGTTGTAAAAGGGGGAGTAAAAACAGAGGAACACGGTCTGAACACTGCCGTTATGGACATGGTACAGTAGAGGCATTCCTCTCAGTTCAAAACAAACACATTCATTATCATGGATGATGAAGGAATCTGTTAATGGTTCCTGGAGGGATGGTGGCAAATTCATACTGGAACACTGGGGATATTAGACATGACCCTACATCACCGTAGATCATCTTAGTCCCAGCTGCTGTCACCTCAGCAAACCACTTCATGCCTATTAATATCACAAATTATTCAAATTAATACAGACCTGTCAGACAATGTCAAAGTTGTAAAAAACAAAAAGAACCAGGAAACAAATATATACAAAGCACAAAGTAAAGACCACTGTTAAACAAAACTGTGATTATTTTTAATGAATCATGTTGGCAACAACTAAGTTTCATCTATGTGCAACAAGACAAGTAATAATAAATATTTACAAATATCCACTTGAAATGAGGAGGTGTTCATATTGTGCATTGAGAGACTTCTTTTTAACTCACACTCATAAACCCTTTTCATACATACGCAAATCATCTGAAAAACTCTGGAGATTTGGCTACCCGGAGGTTTTTAGGCTATGTGTGAATGCAAGTTTCTCCTCCAGACCGCTAGTATTTTATCTGCAGAAGGTCAGAGTGAGCTGATGTCTGAACGCTGCAGCATATACTCTGGAGATTTCACCTTGAGCCAATAGAAAGAGAATGACGTTTATATACCGTGACTGCCTAAAGTGTCTGCACGCGACCACTACGATCTCTGTGCTCTAATGAACCTGCTGCATTCTGTTTTCTGTTCGTCAGTATGTTGTTCTCCTCTCTTTTGTGGATGTTGTCATTTCATTGGATTACACAGAGCATTGATATAAAGGCAAATATTCTCTGTTGCTACGGCCGCAACTTCCGCGTTGTTTATTTACCTCAGGAAATCCCCCCCCTCCCCCTCCCCTCTGACAGGGATAGTCCCCCGCTGTGAGGAGCATATGTGAACGGCTAGTTCAGGAGAATCTCCGGAGCGGTCCTCCTGTAATTATCTAGATATTATCCGGAGTACATATGTGAAAATGGCTACTCACAGTTTAGTAGTCATTTGCATAGATAGTCTGGAGATAGTCTCTGAGCACTTCATTATAAAAATTTGTAGTAAGGTTTAAACAGTTATTGGTTAATTATTAATTTAAGAAGTCTTAAAGGGTTTATAAGTTATTTGTTTTATCAGAAGACATGATTGTTGTTGTATGCTGAGCCCTCTTGTTTCAGTCTTTAATGGTTCACAGTTAAGAAAAACAACTTCTAATCACTGCTTCTAACAACAGAAAACTTAATGAACTTTTTGAATACCCTTTTGCAAGACTCCTTGTTTTGCACCTCCACTTTGCAGTCAGATCTCGGTTAATTTTTTTGATACAATGCTTAAAATAATCTTTCTTCTTTGTTCCATTATCCCTGTGTCAGTTGTGCTGTTCATTTTTCACCCAGTCTTGCCATCCACCGGGGTAATGCTGAACACTGAAATGGATAAAAAAAGAGCACAAAGTAAAAGAGCAGTTGCATAAAATTGCATTTAAGTTTGGCTTTACGGTACCAGGGCATGTTGATGAGATGAATTTAATATTTTCAGACAAAGACTTTTAGGCTTGTGTTTTCTTTAATATTGCATCAGAAACTTGAGATCAGCAGCTCACTTCATTATGTGAAGGCAATGTTCAACAACAGGTAAATAACCTCAAGAAGGTGGAATGTAATAATGTATTGTGATAAAAAAAAGTCAATCATATTGAATGGTTGTTTCGTCTTTGTCCAGACTTTAAAAAGTGAAAGCTAAACTCTTGCAAGCAACAACAATGAAAAATTGCTGTACAACAGTTTAATACTGTATAGATTAACAATGAGATGAAAACCAATCAGTTTTGACAGATATAAGGTTAAGAAACCCGTCTTACTCATTGTATCCCAGCGAAGTGGCTGTGTTGAGTGCTTTCTTGCTTCTGACCCCTGCCAGACAACTGAATACAATGTTATCTGTCTGCTGGGGCATTTCACCGCCATACTTTTCTTTAAACTCTTCTTCAGCCAGCTGGAGAGCGGAGTTCACCTGTCCCACTGCAAAGTCAAAAAAACACAAACTACTTCTCAATAGAAGTAAGAAGTATTGCAGTACTCACTAGTGTGCCTGGACACACTTTGAAGAATGCCTGAGGAATGTTACAAAGAGAGTTGGGCATGTCCTTCTTAATACGATAAACCATGTTGTCTGCTGGTTTCATCAATGCTGTTTCAAGATTGTTAAATGTTGTTATTTGATGGCGCCCTTCACACACTGTATTTACGGTAAATTCTTCTATGACGTCATCACATTTACAGTATGTAGCGCGTCAGTCGTCGGATGACATGAATGTTGTTTCTTTCAGTCTGCATGTGTTCATTGAATAAACAAGCCAAAGGCTAAAGAGAAGACACAGAGTCAAGTTTGCTTGTTCTCCATACGCAAGTAGAACACTGCGCATCACAGCTTCACAAAGATATTTTTTAAATTCTGATGGTAATTCAACATTGAAAGAATTTGCAGTAAAAAACAAAAAGAAGTGTTTGGAATTAAAGACGTATATTTTCTATAAATGTGCTTCGGATGGAAAACTGATAAAGCACATTCACTAATGTCCAAATCACCTGCAGACAACGAAAACGTTTATGTTATACATATGAGTCATATGAGTTACATCCCTGCCAACCAATCTGGGATTTCCAGAGTATTTTAGGTAGAATGACACTCACAGGGGACGTTAATTGAGCCGGGAATGAAGCCGTACTCCCTGAGCTCCCAGGGCTCTCTGACATCAATAACTACAGATTTCCGGCCAGCCAGAAGCTGTTTCAGTTCCTCATAGCTCACATCCGTGCTGGGTGGCCCCGAGGTGAACCTGTGAACCAGTAGCTCTGTATCTGGAGGTGAAACAAATAAAACAAGTTATGAACAATTTACAAACTTGAAAGTGACTTAAAAGTGACTGAGGCCGAAACTCAGATGAAAACAGATAAGGTAGCAAATATTAACGTTACTACGTTTTAATATGAAACTCACTTTTGCAACCGAGGTGAGTGTTGACAGGACAGGACAGAAAGCTTCGTCCTCCAGGCAGGACTGTACTGTTCAATAAGAGCCGCGGCACAACCCCAGCTAACCCCAAACACCTTCTCATGGCCATTTGTGATATGTTACACCTTCAGTCAACGCTTCTTCGATATAAACCTGTAATTATGAACCGATACTGCGTGACCCTACAATTAAATATTACACGGCTCACGCTCACCGCGCCAACTTCGACCTGCGCATGCGCAGATGTACGGATCGCATAAAGGGCAAAAATACTCTCATTTGACTTCTTGCCATACCGTATTAAAGCTATGTATTAAACGCATATTTCAAATATTTAAGTTATGTAAGATAAACAATAATCAATTCAAATATAGTGGTGCATGACTTGAGTAAATCACATTTTCAGAGTTTAGAATAATCAGACACATCACATATGATGCATTCAATGTCATGGGAAAGACGGAAAATTGGCAACCACAAGTCAGTCTAGATTGTTGACTGTAAATTATTTTACACTCGTTTTTAAAAGCATACCTTATATTGCTAGCAGAGGCGTCAAGACACCTCTTCACATTTCTGACTACCAAATCATCTAATTCCGGTTTACCTTTGCATATTTTAAACAGAGCTACAAAGTACCATCACAAAGTTTCAACCTTTTTATGGATAAAATAACACAATAAACGGATCACTCTGTAGTTCCTTATGCGTCATATTGAAGGAACGACTCTCGGATGCCTCAGAAATGTGAAGCTCAGTCTGTTTTGTTAGATTTCTTATGGTACGTGAACGCAGCATCAGGCCAATTTGAGTTGCCGTAGTGCGTCACATGTTGACGAAGTGTGCTAGCTGCTGATGCTACTGATAGCTTGACAACATTTAGAAAGTCAAGGGAAAACACAGCATTTTGGGGGGAGGGTAAATGATATGTTGATATATATGCGCTTTTTCTTTGTGCCGATATGCCTCAATGTCTTTGTGTGTAGTTGTATAAAAGACATCTCGTAATTTACATGTTTAAATGACAGGCTACTGTAGCTAGCGTGCTCGTTAGCTCTAACTGTTGGCTTCAGGTGAGCTAACATAGTCACCACAGGAGCTTAAATAAAGAGGTAAGATAATTCATCCTCATATTCAACCTGTGAAGAGTTGCTTTTCATTCTAATAATTGCTTTGTTCGATATGTGATATAAATACTGTCTGTGCTAACATGTATAGATGGTGAGGCTTCTTAGTCGTGTTGGTATCAAGAACAGTTTCTCTAAATATCGTTAAGACGAATAAATAACCTTTAATCAGACTTTTTAATTCGTTTTCAGATTTACTGATATACTATGTCGGACGTTAGAATAGTGTTGATCATTTCTGCAAATTTGCCTCAGTGCTCCTGTTCAACGTTGAGTGATTTATTAATACTGTACTCTGACTGTCCAAGTTAAATATAGCTTCAAGTGTCCGAGGGTGGCCCAATATTATATTATATATTATATATACTATAGAATATATGAATTTATCTTAAAACTATTGGGCCGATTAGAGGAATTCGTTCACTTGACCTTAAGGTACCTGGGAAGGTGTTTCACCTGCTAGATTAAAGGTGTTGTGTTATAACTCGTAGACTGTTATTATAAGCTTTGATACGTTTTTTTTTGTTATTTAGACCTACAGAACTAATACACTCGGCTTTGAAAATCCTCCATCATGCTCCAAGTGGATTTAATTGTTTTGAATAAACAAATATGTCAGCATGTTAGACAAAAAGTGAAATTAAAATCGAATAGGTATACAGCAACAACAGTAAATAAACAAAAGTACTTTAGTCTCTTGAATAGTTAAACATGTAAATTGGTTGTATGTAAGTCAATATGTAAATCCATTTTTGTATTCAAATGTGCAGGTATGCATATAAATACAAATACTATAATAAATAAAAGATTTGTAAAAAAAAAAAAAGAAAAAAAGCATCCTTTGAAACATGGAGATAAAACAAGATACAAATTCTGTTGGATAAAACGTTTATAATAGGTAGTTGAAATAGCAGTGTGTATTCTGTTATGAAGTAATGCTAAAACACTGTAATGTTGAGTTTTGAGATAATTTAATTTTGTGTATCAACACTAATGTTGGTCCTCCATCTTCTCATCAAGAGCTCCAGATGCGGCTAAAGGACCCCTTCTCCTTGAAAGCCGCCGATATGACTAAGCGGACTAATAAACCGAGGAAACCTCGAGATGAGGAGTCATCAGATGAAGTCAGTGGTAAGTTACTGTAGTAATACTAACTCAAGCAATGCAGTTTATTTACTGTACAACAGGTGGCTTACTGAAGACATATATACACTGAACAGTGATCAGGTTTTAATTTTGTGTATTTGTTTATCTTTGTTTTTTTATTTTTGCTATAGCAGGAAATACAATGTATGTAAATAAAGTTTCATGACTCTTATAGATTATCATTAGTATAAAAGCTTTGTTTGTTGAGATGTCCCACCTACATTGGATGAATTTACAGCTGGTGCTGTGCACATTTTTCATTCCTTCAAAATGAAAAACTCTCTGTTTGACAGTGATGGAACTTGCATATTTTATTACAGTATGTGTTGTATTTTTAACCAGGGTTGACTTGCCAGCATGTGAGCAAGGCAGTGGACCTGAACTCTGTGAAGAAATCAGTTTTGTCAAACATGTGGCTTGTTTGCTCTGAATGCCTAAAGGAGAGGACCATGATCGATGGAGAGCCAGCAGCATCCAATGACATCCTGGTGTGCTTAAAGTGTGGTACCCAGGTAATCTTTTATTTACTTTTGCTCAAGAAACCAGTGCAAACACAAATCATAAAAACAGGTGTCAAGCTATACATGGTCCTAACCACACACACACACACACACACACACACACACACACACACACACACACACACACACACACACACACACACACACACACACACACACACATATATACCTTTTTTTTATTACATCATGAGAGGCTAAAACACAGAGGTGAATTATTATTAGTAACCTAGAGCAGTGGTTCCCAACCTTTTTTTCTTTGGAGTCCTTATATCTTACTTATGTCTCAAAAAAGCTGAGACCCCTCAAGACCCACATGGGGGGAAATGAAACATTACTGTCAAAAATAAAATGTTTTTTTATTGAGAAACATCCCTTCGGAATATGCCTCTTCTTGTTGTTTTTAAATGATTTATGATTTAAAATTTCCAATATTTGTATTCTGTGTGTTTGTGAACGTGAGACAAACACAGACTTAAAGATGGGAAGAGGGAAATGTAATGTAATTTATTTAGAATTAATTCATTTTAAATTAAGACACTTAACTTTATTGCATAAATCCAGAAAGGGCTTGCAAAATATGAAAATATACTATATTTCTGTTCCCAAATATCCATAAATATGGCTTATTGAAATGGGAATGAGCCATGGATTAAACATTGAGATGTGTGCTGTTGGCCCAGAGTGTGCGTTATATGAATTGTAACCAACATTGGTTTTCTGAAACATCTTACAGGGCTGTAACCAGTCCGGGATCCAGCACGCTGTCAAGCACCATCAAGCTTTCCATCCAGAGTCTCACTGCATCACCATCAGCTTAAGCACATGGAAGGCCTGGTGAGTACACTATTATGAACAAGCCAAGACTGTGCACACGGCTAGTTTGTGTCAACATGTGATGACATGTATCAGGATGTTGCCAGTGTGTGGGGGCTTTTATGGAAAAACAAGGTGTAGTGGGTGTTTCAATGCACTTTAACACAGCAAGTATGTGCTGTCTGTTAGTCTCTGTCATCATGACTGATACCATTTTGAGGGCAGTTTCAGATCTATGAAATGCTTGTTCACCCCGTTATTATATACTGTATGATTGTGTTAATCAATTGTTGTTAACAGTAATTCTCATCCAAAAAACAGTTCATTGTAACACAAGTTTCTAGAGGATTCCTTGTAACTCTAAATCTTTCTGTGTTTGTCTTTGAACCTTTTCATTGTAACAGGTGTTTTGAATGTAACGAGGAGCTTTCCACTCACTGCAACAAGAAGGCTTTGGCTCAGACCCTGGACTTTTTACAAAAACAATCTGTCAAGGCGACATCAGGTAAGGTTTTTGGCAAGTCTCTTGAGGTTTGACACCCGATTGAAGTTGGGGAAAAAAAGCTTTAATTAGAAACATACTTTTTTCAGCCAGACTGGATAAGTTCTGTTTGAGATGTTTACAAGCATTCATTTCGTTTAGCAACCTTGCCTTCAGTTTACTGTAAGTACAAAAGCTTTGCCATTAACACAAACAACTTGTCATGGTTGTCAGATATTACTGGTTAATAATACTGTCTTAAAATACAATTTCTCAACACTCACCTCGGTTGCAAAAGTGAGTATGACATGTTTCAAACAATGGTAATGTACTCAGTGCCGGTCTTAGACTTATCCACAAGAGTCTAACAAAATACTAACACCATGGCGGTTTACCAGAGCAATAATTTGTCTGGACTCCTGATGGTCGAACGAAATGCCTGTTTAATAAATGACTTGACTTGGTCAAATAAACCCAAATTTGTTAATGTCACTACCTAAGTTAAACAGCTACCTAGCAGGAATTGACTGCAGTACACCTGCTCCCCCTGGTGGAAGTAATCATCTGAATCCCTGGATTTAACCTGACATCCTTAGTGAAGAAGGAGCCTTTGTGTCTGTGCAATGGGAGTAAAAACTGTGTGTAATTCCACTTTTGTTATTTCTGAAATATGAAACTACTTTTTCTTTGATTTACTAAGCTCACAAAGCCCTTTCCAAGGCTTATTATCAGGGGCATAAACATTAGAGACGAACATCATGCTGCTAAAGAGCAGTGTGACTGTTTAAAAGTACTACACGTATATAATGCCTACTAGTTACTAGTAAAAACCTTTGGATATATTTGACTTGTGCAGCAGCAAGTTGTGTTCATACTGATATTTTGCGGCCTTTTTTTAAAGTTATTCTTATGTCCTCTCACCTTCACTCAAGCCACCTGACCCCTCTTAAAAAGTCACTCACCCATATATATATTAGCACACAACCCCCTTTTTGTACTTACACGCTCATACACCTTCTGTTCCTGCCTCTGCACCTCACCATTGCGTGATGGCATGCTAAGAGGCCTCTTACCAGACTGTAGTTGATCAGGGTGGTGAGCATCATCACTTTCAGTCTCACTGGCTGCCTCAGCTTGGCCCAGTGGCCAAAGGCCAGTTGCTCAGGCTAGATTAGACTGGTCCCCCCATCAGTCTCTCATTCACAGCTTCAGAGTTGCAGGATTGATGCTGTAGAAATCCCTCATCGACCCTCGCCCCCACCCTGCACATCGCATGACTGCACACGTTAGAGGAATTAGGCGCTTGAGCGATGCTTCCCGGCTGGGTTCCCTAAAGAACAAGAGCAGCTGTGTGGGGTTCAGCCTCTGCTCTGTCATTCTTTGTCTCTCCATCGCTATCTGTTTCTGTCCCTTGCTTCCTCTGCCAAGCTGCTGTACGTCTCACCACCTCTGGGCCTGTGTGCTGCACTAGTGGGAGCCAGGGTCCTCAACAAGTCAGAGCGACTGGATCCTTACAGCTGGAGCACACTAACTCTCAGTGGACAAACACACTCACAGATACACACGTACACAGAATCTGGAAAATGATCAACTAAAGTAAAAAGCCTCTTTACTCCATAGTATATTTGTTGGCAGTTAAAATGACTTTATGTGATAAAATGTTTTGTATTCTCATGACACATTCTCTGCAACAGAGAGCACAAGCTCTCCTCTGAATAGAATCTGAATACCATTTATTTGCCAAGTACATTACATACCTGAGGTTTTTCCGTATGCTTTCTGTAAAATGTGTTTTTAGTGAACTTATACTTTGTGATACTCATGCTTCACCAAGGTACACAGCAAATGAGGTACAAACAGCACCTCACGGAGTACAAAGAGTGAATAAAAATGGCTAGAAATTAGATTTGCTCTACAGTTAGTTGACACATGTACACATTTCTTCCTCAGCTTAGACTTAACAACAATTCTTTTGGGTTAATTTTGTAATTTCTGTTCAATGTTGGATGTGTTTCTCTTTCAAAAATATATAATTTTTGAAGTGTCACATTTGTATATCAGCTCTATGAGAGCCAAGTAAGCAAAGGAGATTATGGATGAACAATCTATGTGATTTATTTGTCTAAATACTTGAGTAGCTGCCCTTCGGTGGAAATGGTGCGACTAAGGGGTCCAATATTCTGCTGAGCAGAATAGTTGCTACTTACAGCTCGCCCCTTTACCTCTTTAAATTACCTGTCACCCTTCCTGCTACCCAATTGTTCCACACCGGTTGTCCAAATAGGTATAGAGGCAGGCAGCCATTGTTGCTGCAAAATAGGTGGTTGTTGTCTGTTGAGGAGCTTGTGAAATTGCATTTCAGTATGAAGGCCATGTTTTCAGCAGAAGCTGCTGTTGCACTGTTTTTCCTATATACCCCTAGCACAAAAGGACCCCAGCAAGGTTTTCTTTTTCAGATTCTATAATAATTTTGTGCAACAACAGCTCAGGGTAGAAAGGAAGTCGATTAACTGTGCGCTCTCACCATCAAGGCCTTCAGCTCAAGTACCAGAGTCCTAGTAAAAAGCAAATTGACCTCAGGGAGGTAGACTCCTGCTTGTAACACAGCTGGGCTGTCTTTGTCGAGCAAATTAAAACATTCATTGTGAATTGGTATCACAGCTTGTTTCTCATTACAGTCTCTCAGTTGTGTATTTTTATGGCAGTGATTGTCATCAATCACTGTTAAAACATCTCCTGTTTTTTTTTTACCATACGGTGGGCTTTCATTTGTAATTTTGCATATTAAAGAATAAGGGAAAATTCTTCAGATTTCTGATTGTTTGGTCACACATAGTTTAGAGAAACGTAATGTGTTATTTATGGAGGTTTGACATTTTGTTGGTTGGCAAAAGCATTCTGACACAAAAATTTTTGGAGCTGTACATTGGTGCATGCGGAATACATCTTTTGCATACATCTAAAGATAATAACACTTATTTATTTATTGTTTTCTTGTATGGGGATACAATTGATAAGGATTTGTGCATCAAAAACATTTAAAATAAGTTCGTAGTCACATTTCTCTTCTTCTTGAACATGATGAATTGTAATTTTCTTCAGATTTACTTAAGCCCTAAAACACGGTTACATACAACCATTGACATGTTTTATAGTTACAACCTTGAAATCTTGGTGAAGTGACAAGTTTGCAGGAATGTATTTTCCTACATTCTATCAATCTCTCTCACATAAACATAGATGTAACAAATACACAACTACACACCCACTTACACAAATGGCTGGTTGAACCCCCTGGCTGATTTTTTTATTTGAAAAAACATTTATTGTAAGTTATGTGTCATTAATAAGTACTGTTCTCTGGCTGAAAAGACTTGAAGGTTTCACATCTTAAACCAATGAATGAATGAATTATTTAGGAAACACAGTGTGCTGAAAAGAGAGGAATGGTGTGAGGGTTATTCTATGCTTAGATATATTTACATTCTTTTTTTCTTATCAGATTGTCCATTTCTAAGAATCCTTGCCAAAGGCAGAAGTACAAGTTAGTTAGTGTTGTTTGGTGACTGCACCCTTCTTTACCTGGTTGTTGATTTTGGAAACCATAGTTCTTAGATAACTGTCAGTTTTGCCCATCTGAGTCAGTAGTCAGTATGATGCTTGTCCCCTGGTGGTGCTCTCATGGAGGTAATCAAGGGTGATTCTGTCTTTATTCCCACCATCGCACATGAAAGTAGGCCAGATAGTGGGTAGCAAATGTGTGTACATGTTTGTGTCTGTAAGTAACATGGAACTGGGTTCTCTTGGCCTCAGATGGCAAGGAAACAGGCTTTTCATGCCCTGCAGTCACAACAAATTAGCGGATTAATAAGACATTTGGTGTTGCTTGGCCTTCCTCTTGACTGCCTTCTCTGCATGAAGGGAGCTGGCCTTGGCCCTCCACTCTTCTGCTCCGTAAGTGAACATGGAGGCATGAAGCCCACTGGCCATATCATTTGACGGCCTCTCAGCCTGGATAAGGAAAGCAATCTGATCAAGCAGACTTTAATTATGGAAAGTTTCTTTAACAGGTTTTCTATCTTTGGCTTTATGAAATTAACACAATGGCTACGAGATTAAAAAAAAAAATGCATTTTGTAGGTTCAGGTGTACTAAATGTAGGATTGCAGAAAATATTTGTATAATATGTTTTTGTGGCTAATGTATTAAAGCTTGAATCCTGGCATGATTCCTGGCCTTGGCCCTGCTTCAGCATTACAGAACATTGCACCTTTTGGAAAGACTTCAATTAGTCATGTGTGTTATTTTTCATTTGCGAGTACTCTTACTGTTCTCTGAAAAAGCAGATACATCCAATGTTTCTTTGTATATCTCTTGTGTGAAAAAGAGCAGGGAGTGCAGGAGGTGTTAGCATACACGCGTGCATGTGGATGATCCTGAGCACCGTGATGATTTCCTCTGCCCTGGGGAAAGGCTCCACAGTGTCACTGCTGCCCAAACTCGGTGGCTGAGCAAGGAGGGCCAGGTGGTGGTGCCGAGTGCAGCACAGTCAAGCGTGGATGCAGCGCATGCTGACATTTGCCTTTACTAACTGCTGGAGGGAGAGGAAAAATCTGCTTTTCCATATGCTTGCAACCCTTCCCTCCACCCACTGCACTCCCCTCGCCCTTTTCTACCCCACTCTCCCCAGTCTCAACCAGATGGCTCCCTGAACATTGTTTACCTTGGGTGACGGTCCCAGATGCAGAGTGTGTCCATGGGCATCCCCATTCCGCCCAGTTAGTTCCTCATTCCTCTGCTATCGCTTAGCTGAAGTGCTAGTTGCAGCTCTTGTACTGTTGTGACATGTCTGTTAATTGTGTGTCTCCTTTCACAAACACCACAACAAGTGCATACAATAATTTAGACACTTGTTCTCTCTCAATTACTTTTTCTTTTTCTCAGGTCTTTACACTTGCTTAAACATATGTTAACAACATATTGATCTCACTCCAAACCGTTCTTTTTCTTGACCCGGACTGCAGTTACTCCCAATGCCCACATGTTTCAGTGTATTGTGTGTTGACATATGGGAGCTCCCTTATGGCTGCATATTGAAGATGGAAAAAGGCTTCCAGATGTTGCAAACATAGAGGGCCATATGTAGTTAGCACCACTGAGCAGAGCCACACAAAATGATGGCATCTTAACGAGCTGAACCTCTTCTTAGTCTAAAAGTAAAAAGCTGTCTTAATTCCTCCTCAGTACTTAACATTTTCAATTATTATAGCAATGTTGAATTGTGTCTGGTTGTTGATGAATGTGTCCTGTTTTTTAAATGAATGTGGCCTGCGTGTTGTTGTCTGTTGAGGTGAGCTTCAGGTATAGCTCACTCAATGTTTTTTATGTGGCCTTGTGTAATTTGTCATTTGTACGTGTTTATTGTATATTGTGTTACATGTTGTCTTGTTGTGTGCACGTTACAGTTACTTTAGTAGGTTATTGGATACGTGCTTTTACTAATACTTGTTTTTGTAGCTTTTAGCAATGTTTGAATTTGTTTTTGTTTTTTTAGGGAGCCTCTTATAAAATCTGGCCAGGGACAACAGATGAAAATTAGCCTTTTGGCTAACTCTGGCATATTTACAGAAATGTTTATTAATATGCAATGTCCCTGTAAAATAAAAATAAATAAAATAAATAAAAGAGCAAAGAAAAATCAAAAAATGCAGCAGCACCAAAAAGAGGCAACGTCCTGTATATGTGTGCGCTCAAATAATTGCGTTTTCCTTCTCAAATCTTTTGAACAGAAAATATGTCCTTTCACCCCCATTCCTATGATTGAAATTTGTATGAGTATGAAATGCAAATTGCCTGGCCACGAGTAGAAAGCCCACGGTTCACATTCCAGCGACTGTGTCCAGGGCACTGCTGCTTATGTCAATGACCTTGAGGAGGAAACTCGTTGGGTAGCGGCCAGCAATGGGCTTTCTACTGCTGTAGGTTGAATACCTTTCCAACAAATGTGTTGTGTACAAGGAGTGGTTTCTAAGAATTCAATGTGTGCTAAGGCAAGGCCATTTAGGAAGAACAGTGAGAGTAAAGGTGCAGGTTGAAATGATGCTTCTGATGATTAACAGTTCAATTGAATTTTCTTACTTTGGATACAGGGGGTAAGGCCAGTGACCTTGTTGCCATTCTGCTCTCTTGACTGGCTTATATGGGTGAAGTGCTCATGAACCGAACTCTTTTTGTGCTTACCAGCGTCATTTGATTTCTTTTCTGCCTGTTGGCATTAAGGGTACTGCCATGAGTCCCTGTAAGAACTTGAACATTTTCCCTGGTATATCTTCTTTTCAGTTTACAATAAAGGTAGAATCATTCACTGTCGTTAGGTGAGGGATACTAACAAATATGAAGTATAAAAGTTGTGAATTAAAAAAAAAAAGGGGTTGGGGGCAGGGTACTGCTTTATTAACCGTTTCAATCATGCAGCAACATTATTCTTAAAATGAAGATGTTATTCCTCTTTTTACTTTTATTTGATTTCATGGTGTCAGGTGGCAGTTGCAGTGGAGAAGCTGCTGTTGTCTAGTGTCTTTTTGGCGTGTTTAACGATGCTCCAAACATTTTCAGAGTTTGGAAAGGACACCTAAAAATATATAAATATAGATGTTAGAAAATTTTCATGAAAAATAGAATGAAGTCAATGTTGCCACGCCATGCATTAAAAAAAGGTTATCATGGAGTACAGTCCAAATGTGTTGACACAAACGCAACAAAAATGTTACCAAAAAGTATAAGATTTTTACTTTTGATTTAGTTACTGTCTCTAGGAACTTTTCAAATTTCTGCGTATAATAGTGAAACATATTTAACTAATGTCATTGAGTAGTGGATTCAGGTAGAGTTTATGCAGCTCCAAAAGTGTAAAATGTGAAATTTGTGCAGATAGGAAAGAAATGGTTTACTCAGTACAGTGTTAAGATGTTATTCACAATTTAAACACTTTAATCTTATCTATACCTAATATGATGGAATACCCCTCGTTTTCTTGCCCTAATGTTGTTCGCCTATAATTTTCCCCTGTGTTCTTAAATCACTCAATTAAAAGAAAAGATAGGGCAATGATAAGATAGGCTTCTATAAAGACATCAGCAACTTTCACTTACTTGAGTGTGAGCTCAAGTAAAGATTATATATCCCCGGGCTTTCAGAAAGCAAAAACCGAAATGAAGATAGATGCTAATTCTCTGAAAGCAACACACAAATACCAAAAAAGAGACCTCCTAGGAGACTGAGCTCACTAAATGGTTCAAATGATAAATGGCATGGTGCAAAAGCTAGATGTGAACAGTAATTGAAAAGATCACCATAAAGGTTTCTTGGCGAAACTTGATAACCTTGGTTAGCACCTGATTTGCATTTTCTGCTCTAAAATCAAAAGGCTATCCGATTATTCAAACTTGAAGGAGAGAGACCATAGATTATGATGTGGGGCTCGTTTTTCATGACAGTGCTCATGGTATCCTGTATTAAGATAAATGTTTGGGATTAGTTGTTTAAGATGGTTCCATTACAATGGGAATTCATATGTTGCTCTAATAATATCAAGGTGCTGGTTGTTTAACAAAATAAATTGTACTCTGAACAAGAAGGCTTATACAGTAGAGAAGGTGAGAACATTAGTAAAGGAAACTGTCAGCAGATTATCTGTATTACACTTCTTAGCCTCAAAAAAAACTTAGTGGCAACATCAAATACTTGTACATACACCTCTGCTCTTATCTGAGAGAACCTTTTTTCCAGAATAAATTCAAACGTGGGTTTTGATTCAAATTATTTGTATTCAAATATGTCTTTATGAGGAGTTTAACCTCTTCTGTTTTAATATCAGGTTTCTTTAAACTTCAGCGAATGCATGCTAACAACACGTGCGTAACTAAGGTTGTCAAATTGTCAATACTCTGATATGTTTTCTAAAATGATGATAATCTCAGTTATTTGGATGATTGATGGTATTGAAAAGCACTGAAGCTACAGATCGCAGTCATTTATTAACCCATGGTTGCAGCGAGCGAACTATCAGAAGTTTTTCAATACCAAACTGTTGCCAATGCATTTGTGCAATTCAGACAATTTTGTTGTTTCTGTTGCATCAAAAAGTGTATCTCTTTGTTTATTTTTTACGAGAATCATATCGAAGTTTAAAATCTGTTATCATAACCCTATCAGTAACATTGTATTGACAATGAATTTTCATGGTCTTCTATTGTTTTAGCCGCTGGCACGCCATCAGTTTTCCCGGCTTTGCTAACTACACTAGTCTTTCCCCAGCAGACTATCTGTATGTCACTGTTAGATTTCTACCATCTGTGCCTGAGTTTCTGTGTAAGGTTAGTCTTCATTGGTGATCAGGAGTAACAGCTGGCTCTGGAGAGCAATGTCTCCAACCCCAGCCCCCAATGCTCCATCACTAGCCAGCGGAAACTTCTACAGCTGTCATCTGCTTTCCCAAATGACCCAGCTTTCCTTCCAGCTGCCATCACAACACCCTGCTCCCATCCCCAGTCTTGCTTCAAGGCTAAACCATTTTTTTTGTATTGGGCCGTTATCCTTATTAAAGGGATACTGACATTTTCCAGTTTAAAGCCACTTTCCATTTGCAATCCCAACCAAGTTGCCAGCTCAGCTATCATCATGGCTCTCTGTTAAGGCCTGAATATCAAAGATTGGTATATGAAAAAAAAAAAGAAAATCTCAATCATCAGTCCCAATTCAGGGATTTTAAATGGAAGCTTTTATCAAATCAACACATTGCGGACCATTGCTATCACCAGACTAAGTAACAAATGAGAATAAGTCTGGAACCTTTCACTTTATTTTTTATTTCTGTTGTCAATGGGGGCATACCAAAATGCGTGTAGACTCAATGTGGTAGACCTACAAACAATCGAAGTGATCAGAAAAACACTTGGCATTTCACAGCCTTAGCTAGGTTGTCTGGAAATCTGTATGAACAAGAGGGCTACTAGCATTTTTAAATGTTATATCATATATATCATATATTCTCAAATGATGAGCAGGATAAGGTTGTTGGTTGTTTTTTGGTATTCCTACTCCTACTTTGAAGAGGGCTTTAAACCTCCGATTACCTCTCCCTGAATGTGTAACTGACATTTAATCACATTTTTTACTGTGTAGACTAAAATATGGATATTTTCTAAAGATGGCAATCTTCGATTCAATAAAAATATATTACCTTATTCGGTTAAATGGTAAGAAAATATGGGCTTGATCTTTATGGTCCCCTGGGAAACACTGGAACAGCTGAGAGCAAGGCTAACAAGTAGCATCCATGTCATCTTGCCTGATTCAAGCTATGAGCACTATGAACTTTGTCCACAAGATAGATAGACACGTTTGACTCCCTAATGATAGCTACGGCAGAGAGGATGAACATTCTCCACCTGAAAAGCTCATGGCCTTATTTTAAGCCCATGTTTAAAATTCAGGTGTTATCTCACTGTGTAAAGCCCAGCTGACGTTTTCCCTGGTCATCAGGTATTTTTGGTTGTAACTATTCCTGACTGTTCTTTCACTTGTATTGGAGTAATATTTGACCAGGAGTGTGTCAACTTTGACTCGAGTAATGAAGTTGTGTACTTTGTCCACCATTGGTCGGAGCACATTAAACATGTTTTGCATATATGTGTAATAAACAAATAAATAATTTTGTCTAAGTGAACATAGTTTTTTAGTTGAACTTTCAACTAGGACTGTGTATAAGTGACCTGTTGTTTTCTGTGTTCTAGGTGCATCACCTAAGATCATCAAGCTGCAAGAAGAACCATTAGACAACACTGACTCAGCCAAAGGCAAAAGTCCGGTCATTAACAGCACCCTGGTCCCTGTCAAAGGCATTAATAACCTCGGCAACACCTGCTTCTTCAATGCTGTAATGCAGGTTGGTATAACAATAACATAATAAGTGGCGACATAACAGAAACCCAATAGATTGCTAAATTTAGTATTTATAATTATGGAATATTGCAAATAAATACTAAACTGTTTGTGAGAACAATTGCTTATGATTACGAGCATGATTTGAGATCAGGAAAGTAATTCTGAATCCTTTGATACATTTTATAATTTTATAATCCTGTTTCATCAAATGTAATGTATCATAAAGGATTCCTGTTTGTCATTGTTGTATCTCGAGTTCCTGTGAAAGCATCAAACGTCCATTCTAACAAGACATTTTGAGGACGTATAATGTTACAATGTATAAACTCCTTTAGGTGCTACTTTTCATATGTATGGACAAGTGTCTTAGAAAAGCACTATAAAAGTCTAAGGATTATTATTATTCTTATTATCATAGTAAACAAGACTACATCCTCACAATGATTGCAAGTGTAAACAGAATAGGCCCAGAGGTCACTTTGTAGTGTATTCATTGCAGCTGTAAATGCCGTGCTAGCTAAGACATATTCACTTGTCGTTACGTGAGTGGCACTCAGTTGGTGAAGAGCATGTTCTCCACATGTCACCGCTATAAAGCCTCCTCAGTCTCTCTCTGGTCGGTCATGGTGACTGCAAACTGACGTGCGTCTCGAACAATGAAGCTTTATTTTCCGCCATTTTGTTAATCACCCTGTGGGCCTTCCTTGTTGATTGAAATTTGAGTTAGTGCCATATACATGCTTTTCCCTCATTCTCTCTGTCGGTTTCTATTGTCTCCTTGAAAATTGCAATCTTTCTGTCCAAAACATGTAATTGTCTGAGGATGAGCTGTGTCTGTGTTCACAATACCGGCTCCATTGTGTGCTTTCCATAGCAACTGTCTTCATTGCCAGGGTGTGACAAAACAAATATCCCTTGAAATGGAAGGAAAAGATGTTTCTCTAAAATGGAAGGACAATGACGGCTCAGGCTATCTCGCCACCAAGGATCCTCTCAGTGTTTGAAACTCACAGTTCATGGATAAATTTGAAATCCTCTTACAGAATAATAAAATCACAAGTTCCCTTAAGCCCACTAAAACGGAGATAACTTGTGGCGAACACTGCAATCAATTCAAATGCTCTCATGAAATGTTAAGTGTGGATGCTGTCTTGTAAGGATTCTAACCTTATTTGTCTTTTCTTGTCCACAAAACTGTTATGTGTCTTTTTATTCGATGAAGAGTAAAATCATTGCATATCAGCAGTGTGATTAATAAACGATTTTTGAATTGGTATTTAATTTCTTCATTTGTTGATCTTTTGTCATATTTGAACAACACTACTTTGAATACTTAATGTCATTTGTTAAATGAGTGAATTACAATTATTAATAAACCGGCTTTAAATAACTCTGTCATCCCAACAGAACCTGTCTCAGACACACATGCTCATCGACCTCATCCAGGAAGTGAAGGAGAAGGGCTACAAACTGAGGATCTGCCCCCCTGTCGAGACAAATCTGGTACCGTTTGCTGTCTATCTTTTCTACTCTAAAGTCTAAGTCTTCTTCAAACTGTACTGAAGATTGATCAACTACAAAAGAGTTTAATTTTGGATATTGTCATCTTAATGCTGTGCTAATCTGACCAATCATTCCTTGTTGAATCTATTGGATACAGAAGATCAGTAACATTTGGAAATATCTTATCTAACTTATCGCAAATAACAAAGTTAAAACAGATCATCTGAAAATCTCCTTCTTAAGTTATTGAAGTAACTTTCTGTTTAGATTTAAGAAGCAAAATGCAACATGAAGAATAGTATTTAAAAAAGTCTTACAATATTGGGGAAAAAATAATGTATCTGTCTCATTGTAATTCTTACCTTATCCATTAAATAGCAAACTAATAAACTATTTCAACTCTGATTTGTCCAAAACCTATCATTTAACCTGTGATGAAAAAATAGTTTTCAAAGTTAAAGCTGGATAATGTTTTGTTTTGTACTACCAATAGAAAACCTTTTTTTAAATCTTCCTTTTTTAATTTTACAGACTCCATTGATGGTTTCGCTGTCCAGTCCTGAGCCGCTGACCGCAGCCATGTTTCTTTTCCTACAGAGCATGAAAGAGCCAGGGAAAAGCCCACTCAGTCCCAAAATTCTCTTCAACCAGCTTTGCCAGAAGTAAGGCGCTTTTCCTCACATCTATTTCCATAAATTCACACCAGCTTCACATTCTGCATACAAATATTTATATCCAGGTCAATGAAGTCCAACTGTATTGTGTAATAATTACACTCCTCCATCATCATAGCAGCAATTTACAACCAGCAAGCCATAGCTTTACATACCTTCAGTCCAAGAGTCAATTGTGTCCACTTTAATCAACTAGATCCAGTTAACACCTGAGAACTGTAGGTTATCTTTTGGTAATCTGGCTTCACTAACCCTTATGAATAAAATTGTACCTAAGCAGTCACACGTGGCTGGTTATCAACTAGGTAAGTTAACCCAGAGTTTTTATGAGCGTGTACACATGTGGCAGTGTTCCCACATTACAAACTCAGAATATGATATACAAAAATATGATGAAGACACAAAATCCAAACTTCAATCAACATGGCTGCATTTGCCAAATGCAGGAAGAACAACTTGCAGATAAAATAAATATAAAAACATACTTGGAAATGGTAGGTATCCTAAATTTTATATCTTACCACTGCAACATGTCCACGGCTTCAGTGTTTTAATCTTTTCTGTTATTTGATGATAAAAGCACAATAATTATTTTCCATGAATATATTTCATACAAAAGTTAAATTGAAAAGTCAAAGAGTTAAGTTTCTGATCACGTTTCTGATCGCTCTCTCATGACAGACCTCCATGAGCAACACAATTGATCTTGAATTTTGAACAGCAGAAGGTTCACTATTCAGCATAGTCTACCATGACAATCCCATTCAGAAAGAAGATAACCTCTGTCATAGTACTAGAAAACCAAAGTTAGCACTGATGTTACGTCAAACCTTTCTCATAGTACAGACACCTGATCCCAGCTGAATTCTTTCTAGTACTCAACAGCAGGGATGTGCACGTTTAATTATTTTAAAATGTTTTAGAGACATTCAGTCATCTCTGATCAAGAGATACATGTACACTGTGTGGTGTTCATCGGGGGCCTGAGTCATTCTGATCGAGGCTCAGCCCGTGGATGATGTGACGCCGGTAACGGAGCCGGGTTGTTTGGGAATGCAGCCCAAAGTGAGTGGTAAACTCCATCCAAGGCTAAATACTGGCACGAGACCGATAGTTGACAAGTACCTTAAGGGAAAGTTGAAAAGAACTTTGAAGAGAGAGTTCAAGAGGGCGTGAAACCGTTGAGAGGTAAACAAGTGGGGTCCTCGCAGTCTGCCCGGGGGATTCAACTCGGCGGGTAAGGGACATTTGGCTTTCATACTCATCATGTTAGTTGTTTTATCATAGCCTTGTTATAGGCCTAAAATAAATACATAGTGGTATTTGTTTTTACGAATTCTATGGCAAGTTCTCTGTGTTACTTATTTAGCCTACTTTATAAAGCACAATTGTATCTGTCTGACAACTTTGAGTGGCGGCAGTGATGTGGAGGAATCTTTCTGAAAAGCGGCCATTGGTTGTATAGCGCTACTGCGGTCCACTTTTCTTTTTTTTAATGAATTAAAAAAAAAAAAAACGGTTAACCGTGTACACGAAAAAAATGTCGTTGTGTAACCAGGCGCGGAGCCTATTGCTCATTGCAGAGGGGGCGGGGACCAATAGTGGCCCTTAAACTGTCTATAGGCTATATCGCATATGCTGTAGCCTATATAGTAATATAGTATAGCATTTATGGTATAATATCGGAGATACAAGACGGGGTGGGACGAAGAGAAATGCCGCTGCAGATTACAAAGGGTGCTATTACAGTGACAGGGACTTATCAGTGAGTGACCTGCTGATGTTTAAGCAGAACAAGTGCTGATATGTCTGTGCGCATATTCCACCGATTAAACAAGTAAAGCAGACTTAATTAGCCGGACAGGAAACCAAAGATAGAAGGCAACTACAGTTTAACATTCAGTGAAGTTGGACGCTCATCCAGCCACACAGCCACACAGACAATACAATAAAACCACACATTATCAACCCACGCACTACAACAAACTTTGTAAACAGTGTGACAGCAATGGCCTGCCGTTCATACAGTACGATAACAAAGCAGACACGACGGTCTACAACACATGCACCCACAAACAAAAGACCAGCATCTAAGCGTAATCACAAATAATGATGAAACAACTTACCAATGAAGTTTTCATCAGCACTGTTGCTTTCCTGCACGGAGCTGGGTGCTCCTCTCTAACATGTTTATTTGCTTGGCTAGTAGCGTTTACGTTAGTGGAGCTAGCAACGGGAGGAGACTTGCCAGGTTGAGTTGTTGAGGGTTGAGTTGTCAATGAGAAAAAGTTTTTTAATTCGTTTTTTACACTTTTAATGTTACGAAAAACTGCGAGGTAAACAGAAATATAGCAGACAGACGACTAGGTTTTTAAAACTCCAGACAGCAGCGGGGGCCCAGCAAAGAGGTGGTATCAATGTCATTACAAACAGGCCACAGCACCCTGCTGGGCTGTTTGCTGCCGAAGTTGAGAACCCCCTTGGCAGTAGAGGGGGGCCCCTCTCTGCTCTACAAAATACATTGGGTGTCTTGATTACGGCAAAAGAGAAACAGACCTAGTCAAACTAACTTTATTAGAAAATTCAACTAAATAACAAAATGCATGTTAAATTTGGCTCAAAGTGGGCCCCTTGAGACAACAGTGGGCCCGGGGTGGCCGCACCTTCTGCCCCCACACTCGCTCCGCTACTGCGTGTAATCGTTTACAATTTTTTGTAACCGTTCACACCCCTACTCAACAGATTAAAAAAGCACTAAGGGCACTGTGGCTGCAGCAGTTAGCTATTTGAAGCTGTTTTTGCTACTTGCCACACTGCAGTGCCACCTGTGTCATATTTGATCCAGAGCAGGGTCTAACAGGCTTTGTGACAGGCAGAAACAGCCCTACATTTGTGATCTGGACTCTTGTGTTGTTCTCTTTTATGTACAGTGTGAATGTTTGGTTGGCTGGGTTTTTGTTTGTGCATGGTACACTGCTGGTTGGGTCCACACTGTGAGTGTGTGTGAGAGAGAGTGGGGGTGTTGTACTGTTTAGTAGTGCAGGTGGGTGACCAGGGCACTTGACACTGGATGACTGGGTACATCTCTGGTGCTGCTTTGACAGCTATTCTGGTACCTAGCTTCCATCAGAAAGGCCTCCATGTGTTTGTATGTGTCGGACTGTGTGTGTATGGGCAGCCACCTCACCTGGTACCACCTCAGTCTGCAGCACAAATGCAGGCAATTATGGGTTCAGACAGCAGGCATTGAACACAACTTTATGCACTCATGCGTGACTAGTTTCAAGTATGGCTAATCTATTCCACTGACATGACTTTGATTAGAGAGACATGACTTCAAGCCTCAGTACCCCCTACCCACATGGTACACTGCTACCACAAGTGAACTTTATTAAGGCCAATATTAAGCTGTTATAGACATTTTGACATACGAGCCATTATATCATCTAACAAAAAATAGACTTTGTAAACTAAAGATCATTCTTGTAGATTGAAAGTAAAAAGTTAACATAACAATCTTCAAAGGACTGAACACTAGTTTCAATGCTACACAATGCTCAGGCTTTATTGCTACAGGCGTCACACAGTGCTCCTGTTAGCTGTGTTAAAGCCCCCTAACTGTACTGATTTAGCTGAAAAGAAAAGTATACTTGGCTGTATGCTCCTGCTTGTTTGAGGAAAATGATTCCAAGGGCTTTCTAGGTAGGGTTGACTTCATTAATGCATTTTGCATTATAAAATTGGAGATTTGATATACTGTCAACATGCAGCGTTTTTTCAGTGATTATCTTTTTATTTTCTAGGATTCACAAAGTGACATTACTGCACTAGCCTTCTAAACTAGCCTGAGCTCTGAAATGCTGCTCTGCTTCTCCACTCAGCAACTCATCTACATTCAGTCAGGACTAAAGCTTATGGCTGAAAGTACAGGGTTAAGAACATATCCTGTTTACTGAGGCATTGACCTTTAACTCTGTGAATAATGTTCTTTATTCTTACCTGTCACTGCAAGCTCTTGTCACTCAACAAGGTTTTGGTCTGCCCTTGGCCTCTGGTGACTGAGAGTGTTTTTCCATTTCCCGTCACCGTCTTTCTTTGTATGTTTGTGCTGTCAGGAAGGTTAATAAGGTTCTCTGGCTAACATTGAAGGCCAGTTTGAGTGTTTAAGAGTGACTCTAGATCTGTATTGAGCCTAGTTTTCTGTGAATATATGTTTGTTCCTAAACTTTCTATGCATGTGTGAACATGAATGTCAATCTACCGGCTGGGTACCCCGTAGCCTTTGTGTTTTTCTCTCCTACAGCCAGTGGAACAGGTCTGTTTTGGGCTAGGACCAGTGCCAAGCTAAGCTTGGTTGGATGGTCAGCATCACACTCTCAATCTGGTGCCAGTGAGTGTCCCAGCTTGTACCCAGGCGAGTGAGGGGCAACAAATACACTATCTAGTTCAACAATCAAGTAATCAGGAACACTGGAATGTTCATTTTAATTAGAGTTTAATAGGACAATAGGAGAAAAAACTGGGATGTCTGAGAACATAACTATTGCCATGACACATTAATTTGATTTAAATTAAACATTTCAGTGCTGGTAGTGGCACTTGCAGTTCCAGGCTTTCTGCTTTTAGGCATTTTTTTTCTGCTTTTAGGCATTTTTACACCCCTCAGTAACTGCTTTACAACTATGGGTTTTCTTTTTTTAATTGTCTCTATCCATTTCTTTATTTCTTTTTCTCCTAATATCCCACTTGTTGTGCCCATTCAGTTGGGACAGATGGCTGTTCACATTTATTGCTGCTCACGTTTTCTGCCTGTTTCTGCCACTAATGGTGGGCTCATGTTGCTTTTTCCTGTGATAACTTCTGTTATGATTCAGCACTTTATGAAAAATACTAATTAATTGACTGTTAGCAGAACAGTGCTTCTTGTTATGTCAAGTCCTTACTCAACCACATGTCTCCCCTTATGTCCTCTTTCAGCTATAGTGCTAGATAAATTTGCTGTGTCAGCCAAACTGACACCAACTAATCTGAGGTTAGCTGCTAGCTAGCTAGCTTCATCTTGTTGGCCAAATTGTGTGAATGCATGGACCATGTATCCGGGGCACTATTTAATAGTTCAAATGTTTAAATGTGGATATGAAAGTGAAGATGTGGCGCATGTACATAAAATGTTTCTTTTAATGAATTGCTTTTCAGGAAGTCTTTTACATTCTGTTGTGATGATTATGATTAAAATATGATTAATCATATGGCCAGTCTACTGATTTTGTCAGCTTTCACAATTATGAAATAATTAATATGTTTTGAGTAAATATTATTATTACCATACCACCATGTTAGGATCAGTCTATTGGGATGGAAAATATTGAACAGTGTGCATGTTTAATGCAGAAACGGGACAAAAAGGCCACTGAGACACATTCAGCTGCACCTGTTTCTCTCAAGGACTGATTCATTTTTTAGGATGGATGGACATTCTCTTGTGTCACAAAAAAAATGAAAAGCTTCTCTACCTATTTGGTTTATAAAAGTCTACATACCCACATCTTTCAAATATTGTTCCTAAGCCTTTATGAAAAGCCTTACATCATTATGGAAACAGCAAAGAACAACAATGGATTCCATCTAGTGCTCTGGCATACAAAGCACATACACACAGCTACAGTAACACACACAGAGGCGGGACTGGCATACAAGTCTGCACTGAAGGAAGACCTCTTTTGGATTGACTAAAAAAGCAGAAATTCATAGATGTGGAAAAAGAATTGCGGTTTGTGAACACATGACGAGCTAGAACCGCAGTCTGATGATTCCAACTTCAAATCTGATGGTTTATAGCACTTCACTCTGCAAAAATAAAAAACATGAAAATTACTCCAAGATAGGACCAATAAAATCTGTGAAAATCAGCACAGGTCAATTAAAAAATTATTTTTTATTATTTTAGTTTACAATTACAGAAAGGTAATAATACATTTAATTTATAGCACTTTTCATTAGAAACAAATCAAAAACTGCAGATTCTTGTCTTTACCCCAAAATGTGTATGCAGAACTAAAAGCCTAATTATATAGCCCCCTTGCATAATAGAATTATTTAAAGCAGCCATATCTTCTGCATAGCAGAGCTTAACATCAGAGACCTGCAGTGTTGATAGATCATACAGTCTGTTGTGGTGATATGAAAAGAAATTGTATGATTTAAATTGCTCAATGTTGTGCATCACAATAAGACTAGAGGCAACATGCGTACACCTAACATCACAGAGGCATTAACAGCAAACCACAAACTTTGAAACTCTGTGTGTGCATTAATATAAAATAAAACCAGAAAAGTACAGTTCTGCATTACTTAAGATTTTCTTTATAAAAGGTTAAAACCATAAGTTACGATAAATGTGACTTCAAATCATTTTGCTTAAAGGCATTTAAATTATTCAATATCTCATAACATAGCTTGTCAAAATATGACTTTATTTTTTTATAGTTTTTTATTGTGTTAATCAGAAATATATGAACCGATATTTTCAACAGAATTAAATTAGACCATATGCAGATTTATTTCAATTTCCTTGTTTTTAATATCTTCATGCCTATCCAATCATTAGTAAGGTTTTTTTATTGTTATTAATTTGTATCAATATTAATTTGGAAGCTGGGCAGTGAGAAGTTTTATTTCTGTCACTAAGTGGAATAATAAATAAATAAATGTAGAAAGGAGCTTGCTGCTCAAGCATTAGGACTAAGTGTAGTTTTTGTTTAGTACAGCCCTCTAAATTGTGAGATGCACATGTCGTTATGATTGATGCTGTAATCATTGAGTCTTAGTTCTATTTTTAATTCATATGTGTAATTGGATGCTGGACAGATTTGACATGTGTACTGTGTGGGGGTACATTGCATTGTGCGGCTCATACGTTTGTTTTTTCTTTGGGAGGGTGGAGCTTGTGTGGCCTTGTGTCTGGTACTAACTCATCCGGCGATTAATTGTGTTAGCTCCGCAGCTGTTTGCATTGGCCAGATTGAGAGAAGTGCTACAGGGCCCTTCTGCTTCTCTCCACTGGGATGAGCTTACAGACCTTCTCATTCCCACTGATCCCAACCATGCTTTTCAATTGTTTCTCCCTACTACTCTGTATGTCTCGGTTTTTGTTGCACTTGTCTCCTCCTCCCTTTTAGATTGTATTTCTCTCTTGGGCACACTAGTTAACAGAACAGGAATGGGGCAATCCTTCACATGCTATTAGTTTCTAAGGCTTGCTGACACATGTGCTCTCTACCATCCTCACCCCTTCACCCGCTATTCCCCATTTGTCTGCACTTCAAGGGCAAATAAGACACACATCATGTCTGTTATTAGAAATGGGTGGTTGGGAGTGGTGCCATCAGGTTCCTCCAGACCTCCTGGTTATTACCTATGTTGAGGGCAGGTGGTTGGCTATCTTTCTCACCTTTGGCTTCCATTTTTTTGGCCACATGTTGGTTTGCCTCAGAATGGTAAATGTTAAATGGACTTAGCTTATATAGCGCTTGAAGGGTGATTTGAGTGAATATGTTTTGTTTTTCATATGAATCATATGTTTTTCACTGGAATAGAAAAATATTTAAACTATTCATTTTTAAATATGAAGAGTGAGTGTTTGCCTATTTAATATGACATGAAATCTTTATTTCTACACCATATGGAGGCTAAAAGTACTGCTTTAAAACATGGATACAAGTGATATACCTCCACAGAACAATTAAACCTCCAACCCAGCTCTTCAGCCTCCGAAACATCCTCATCATTCGACTGATGCCAAATCATAATTTGGCCTCTCAGCGTGGGCTATGCCTGTCAGACCAACCTGTCCTGTGGTTATGTGGCTGGCTCGGCCCAACAGGTTGTAGTGGCTCTAGCCTTGGCTGCCCATCTGCCCCTGGCATCTGTCCTCACATCTGCCTCATCATACAGTAGATGGCTAGGGGACAGACCCAAGGAGAGGCTCCCCTTTAACTGCTCTGGGATTTATGTCCAGAACTGACAACAGTCAACAAAATGCAAATAAATATCATTGTATTTATGACATTTTTGGGCAATGAAAGTGTCTCTGTGTGCACAGTCAAGAATATAATAAATGTGATATTATATTTACTTACTTTCCAGGGCTCCACGCTTCAAGGGATACCAACAACAAGACAGCCAGGAGCTCCTGCACTACTTACTGGACTCCATACGAGTTGAGGAAACTAAAGTAAGCTTACAAATATTCACTTACACCTGTATTTGACGTCTTAAAATGGCTTTGAGAACATCGAGTCATGTTTGTTGATGATCTTTTGTCATGCTCTTTCAAAGTTTTTATTTTTGATACTAAACAAAGTCCTTCAATTGGCACAAAGTACGCCTCATACTTCTGTTAAATGACATTTCTTTACAAATGGCTTTGGAGGATCTGGCAGAAGACAGTTTGTAAAATGTAAGGACACCCTGAATATAAGCTCAGTCGGATTTTGCCAAAAATGAAGGAATTCAATTTTGAGGTATTGCAATGCTAACAAACCATCATCGTTCTCTAATCATCACCCTTTCAGGCAGCTTACTCTCTGGATAGAGAAAAATGCCCCAAGACTCTCGAAAAATTAAAAACATTCAACCTCATAAACATCCCAAACAAAATTTTCACCTTGAATATTTTAGCATTCTTAAAATATTATTTAGCTCTAGTTACCACAGTGCCAAAGTATTTTCTGTCTCTGGCCTCTTTTACCCTCAATTTGTTGAGGATATTTCCTTATTCATTTTGGTAGAAATCTTACTTATCAGTAATAACGTAAGACACTCAACGGTGTGTTTGTGGCTGGCTGTGTACCCATTCGCTTCTACTTGTTTTTCCACCTTTGTGTTTTAATCTTATGGTGCCATGTTTTTGGCAGAGAACCCCCAAACCCTTTTGCAGGGGCAATTAGGAGACCCCACAGCAGCCCTTTGCAGCACCAAGCTGCCCCCCGTGGCCCCACCAGTGGCTACATGAACCAAGGAGAAGAAGTTAGCGGGTGTGTTTAGTGGTCAGCCACAGAGCCAGGTCGGAGCCGCAGGCTGAGCTCCCATGCTCCCATTCAAACTTGTGAACACTGACAGTTGTGCCACTTAGGGGACTTGCAAGTGGCACGACCGGCATCATTGTGTGTTCTTGGGAAACCCACAGCTGCTGAATGAGCTCCAGGGCCGTCCCATTGTGCTTGAGGGTCACCCATGGCCCCCTCCTAAAAACATAGACACACACACACACACACACACCCACATACCCTCATCAGCCTATTTCCCAATCCAATCAGGGAGGTAAAGGGGGGATATTCATTCACTCAGAATCTAATTTAAAACGCAAAGAACATTCAGAGATACAGTGGCATTTTAGCCTGCATTGTAAAGTGATGTTTAAAATAAATGTGAACAGTAAGACCAGTTGCTATTTTTGAATAAAGATACAATTTGTTTCAGAAGTGTAGTAATTATTCCTTCTTCAAACACAGGGCAAACATAAGGCAGACTTTTTTTTCTTTCTTGTACACCTAGTTTACCTGGATAAGTTAAGTCCAGTTTGAAAAGACACATTTGAGTAGCTTCTAAATACTATAACAATGCAAGCGCACTATTCTGTTGTAGAGTATGTTGTTTGAGTTTTGTATGAATTAGTGAGGGAAACTGGTGTCTCTGTAGTGGCTGTCACCAAGCTTTTAGAGGCCCTAAGTGTTTGTGTTTATCGGCCATTAGTATCAGGGCTCTGAATATGCTAATTTGGCTTCACTCAATTATCACCAATTAGCTGAGACAGTAGGTATTACTCTCTCAGGGCATGGACTGTCCTTCTTTGCCACATCTTCAGTTTAGTTTCCACCCCTGCACCCTTTTACCAGCAACCCTCTGCACCCCCTATCTACCCCTCCCACTGCCCATCCTGTGTGGGACTGTGCACGCTGTTACATTTTGGAGGGAGTGAGGGTGGGGGTTACTGGTAATTAATTAGTAGGAGAGCCCCATTCTGGTTTGACTGTGTAGACTGAGTGGGATGCAGACTGGCCAGGCAGGGATTAACAGGACTTTTTGACCTAAATAGCCAGTCCAGTGCGTGGGTGCCGGGACAATGGGGGCTGACTGGTCTCGGCTGCAGACATAGACCATGGCCAATTATCTATTGATTGGTGCTTCACTGTGGCTGTGCCTGTGCCTCTTCACAGCTCTCTCACCAACACACTCACTGACCGTGTCACCTTCAATAAGAGGAGCCCATGAAGATCTTAGACACACACACAAACATGTACAGTTCATTAAGACATTTAAATGTTAACATTTTTAGACAAGCACAATAATTATTTTACACTAATGATGCTTGTAATAGGTAAACCTGTCAAACTGAGCTGTTGGCTAGATTTGGATATTTCACTAATGGATATAATAGAGACAAGTCAAGACAGAAACCTTGAGTTAATTGTATTCAAATGTAATGAATTCAGTTTGCATCCAGGGCCATCACACGTTGTCTGTAATGTTGTATCATTTTGTGTTTGTTGTTTGCAGAGAGTGAAAGCAGGAATTTTGAAGGCTTTCAATAATCCCACGGAGAAGACCGCAGACGAGGACACCAAACGTCAAGTCAAAGGTTCTTATGTTCATTGCGGTTTATAGATGGCTAAGATCAATAGTCCCATCTTGTGGTGGTTAATGGAAGTACAGTTAAGTTACTCATCTGGTAAAGTAGGTTACAGATTTAAGGGATTTTTCAAAGCTTTACCGTGAAAACTGTTTCCCTTTTCTACCAGCGTATGGAAAGGAGGGTGTGAGGATGAACTTTGTGGACCGCATCTTCGTAGGCGAGCTGACCAGCACAATAATGTGTGAAGAGTGTGAGCATGTGAGTGTATGTGGGTGAAGCACTACAGGAAAAAAGAACTGAAGTTCACAAGTTCTTCATCCAAACTTGCATTAAGACATAAATATGTAATCCAGTGAACACTGTGATGTAACATTCCTTTTGTTTCATTTTTGATTTTGCTAGTGCTCTGAACAAGTACAGCAGGAAGACCAACAGATTTCTAGAAACAAAGGCATTGTCCATCAGTCATAATGTGGCAGACTGTTATACTCATGGAAAATGTTTCCCTTCAAATAAAGAATATCCTTGCAGATAGAGAGCAGCGGGTGTGTAACAATTAGATGAATGTAACTTCATTAAAAACCGAAAAGGCTTTGAAAGTTTTGAAGGTAGACAGTAGGTGGTGATGAGTCATTTAGAATTTAGTTCAACTGATTTCTATCAGAAGTTCAACAATACTTTTACCATTTAATATCATAGAGTGTTAAATGTGTGAATCAACTAACCATGACAAATTGATCAAGTTAAAAGCGCGGGTCCCGGGTGTCTTGTTGCAATGAGACCCATAAGCTTCCCACTTTGGGGTGAAGGAACTCTAAAGTTAGTGTCATGAAGTCAGTTCTAAACAAGGTCTGCAGTTTCCCCACTTAACACAAAAGAAAAGGTTTTAAATAAAGATTGGCCCTTTAAATTTCAGTGTTTTTTTTTTTTTTTCTTTTCTCAAATATCCATCTTCCAGTTGGAGATCACAGCCTTTAAACCGAAAAAACAACAACTTGTAAATAAAATGTATTTATCTTATCAAAGCCTTCAATGCTAGATTGAAGTCTTGAAAAAGCAGCCTTAATGTATATGAATGTATGTGCTGATAAAGATGTGATCTCTCTTTCAGATCTCCACAGTGAAGGAGGCTTTCATAGACATTTCTTTACCCATCATAGAGGAGAGGGTGAGATATTTCTATATTTCATAAGAATGGTTTGACAGGGTGATGATCATAACTTACACACAGTAAACATAACTGAAGAAGTAAGCAACAATGTGTTTTTGTAAATTTTTCAGCTCGCCGTAGAACACCTTTACCTTAAGATAATCATATTGTTTTTGGTTTCAATTAATAATGAATGAAGTTTGATTTTTTTTTCTGCTAAGATATCGAAACCATCCAACCCTGGCAGACTGGGGAAGGGCAGCCGGGAGCAGGACATCCACATGCCTCACAGCGACCAGGTTCTTTCTGCACCCCATCCTGTCAACAGAAACAATAGGAAGCTAAGTGGACAGGTATAATTGCATATGTGAACTATGTGAGTCCCCCGCATTTGAAATGTATATTTGTGACTGTTTTAATGTATACCAATTGAAAAGTAGATATTAGCCAGGTTTGTTCATTTGAGCTGTGTAAAACATTTAATTGGGGGCCCTGTGTGAAAAACTAGAAACCTGCCTCTCTGAAAGGGTCTTATGTGTCTGTTGTTTTTCACCCAGAATCAGCAGAGCAGGAGGTCCTCAAGCTCTGTGGAGGAGAAGGGAGCCGGCTGCGGTGTGGAGCGGCCAGAGGAGGAGGGTGTAGCTGGTGGATCAGCCCGTGGTGTCTCAGTTTGCAAGATGGCTGTTGCTGGCAGCCTATCAGATGGCAGTGAAAGAGACTCTGGTGCACAGGACAGCAGTAATGACGCTGATAGTGAGGCCTCAGAGAGCGAGTGGGCCCCGCGCATCTCGTCCTCAGGCCACAGCCACGGGCACATGTCCACTTCTACTCTCACTCCATATCCCACGCCTGTCTCTGCCTCCTCCTCATCTTTGTCATCGTCAACGAGGCAAGGTGGCGCTGTGGAGCAGCTAGTTACTGCAGTGACTAAAGTGAACCTCGGGTTCACTTCTGGCGACTGCTCTCCTTCCACTCACTGTTCTCAGGAGGAGCTGGGAGAGACACAGACACGAGATAACCTCCATCATCAACACCACCAGGGAGCCTTTCAGGTGTTGTCCCACAGTTACACGCCCAGCTCCAAGGAGTGCTCCATCCAGTCCTGCCTTCATCAGTTCACCTCTGTGGAGCTGCTAATGGGCAACAACAAGCTGCTGTGTGAGAGCTGCACTGAACGCAGACAAAAACAGCTGCGCAAGAGCAGCTCAGCAGGTGAGAGCTTTGAGATCAAATAATCTTTGTATTGTCCAAAATGACTACATTACGTCATAATTTGTATTATTGTCGGGGATTTTTTAATTTCATTACAAGCTGACGCCACCCTTAAAATAATGATCTCCTTCTAAATATCACGCTCTTGTGTGTGTTGTCAGCACTCTAAACTCACTTTTCATTTAGTTAATCATAAAAATATATTTTGGTGGGACTGTATCCACTTTTTCAGTTTCAGTAACCATCCAAATACAATGTAGACTGCAGGATAGCAATGCTCTGCAAGTAGTCAGTACTTCATTCACAATATTAAAAACATGCATTTGAAACTGAGTTTGTAAGTAACTGATTATTTGCTTTTTTAACTTTATAGACTGTTGACTGTTATGTGAGCCTTTAAGCCTTGTCCTATGTGTAAGAATGGATTAGTTATTCTGATGGACACTTTACACAGCAACCTCTGCATCAGTGTGTGAATGTGTAGGTGTGACCTGCGATGTAAAAGTGCTCTGAGTAGTCAGAAGACTAGAACAGGGCTATACAAGATGAATTCCAATATTTGCTATTCTATGTTTGTCATAATCACTTCAACTATTTTCATGACATCTTTGATATTTTAAATCGAGTAAAACAGAGTTCATGTTTTAATATTTCTTTGTTTTCTTTTTGTTGCTCTTATGACACAGACAAGAAAGTGGAAAAAATGTACACCAGCGCGAGGAAGCAAATGCTGATCACCTCGCTGCCTCCTGTCATCACATTGCATCTTAAACGCTTCCATCAGGTGAGCCGACTCACACTCTGCCTTTTCCAGCCCTGTGTTTTACAATGAAGACAGTATGGTATTGCATTTGAGGCAGTAGTCTATGATGTTTCTACATTTGTCATAATCAGAGAATGTGTCTTTGGGCCTAAATGTTAATGTCCCATGGTTCTGTTTTCTTGTTTTAAGGCAGGAATGAACTTAAGAAAAGTGAACCGCCATGTTGACTTTCCACTCATCTTGGATCTGGCTCCATTCTGCTCAGCATCCTGCAAGGTATCATGAAATTTATGAGAAATGGCCAAACATTCTGTGAGCTTGAAATTAAATTACCACTAATAAAAATGTCAAACGTTTTATGAATGCAAGGTTTTCAAACTCTCTTTTATATTAACCAATGCTTTTCATGTAAAACTAAATATTTGTCTGTGGTTATTTGCTTCAGTCATTCTGTATGTAATGAATATCTTTAGTAGTTTTTTTCCTGGACCACTAGCTCTATACTTTTACTTTTTACCTGATCCTCATATTCCTCTCTTCTGTCCTGTCTTTGAAAGAATCTGGCTGCGGGTGAGCGTGTCCTCTACAGCCTGTACGGGATTGTTGAGCACAGTGGCTCAATGCGGGGCGGACACTACACTGCGTATGTAAAAGTGCGCTCTCCCCAGAGAAAAACAGAACAGCACCACAGGAACCTGTCAGGTCAAGGTTAGGCTCCTTTTTTTTCCTATTCTGTGTGTTAGTTTGCTGTTAACAACAGTGGTCAGTACTTTTGCATCTTTCACCTTAAAGTGTCTTCTTGAAAACAGACAGCATGAAAAGGGAACTTTTTGTTCTATAGAGTTTTATTTTCTGCTTTGCCCGTCCCCACAAGATGTTGTCTTGCTAAGATCAGCAGAGCAGTACTGGAACAAAGTTCTAACTCTTAAAACAGTAGTCCTAACTCCTTTGCTCTTTAAATCTCTGAAGTGATTCAGTGGACTCTGATGCAGCCAGCGTACATCCAGCTTGATTCAAGTACAACTTCTGATCCTCTGTCTCAAAGAAAAGCGCAGATGTTTCAACAAATGTTTCAACAAATGTTTTAAATGTCTCTTGCTTGTTTGGCTCCCTCCATCTCATTTGTTTGATAGCTAAATATATTAGTAAATATCTTTTGGCTTTGTTGTTGTTGTGGAGATGACCTGTGACAACTAAACCTGTACAATAGACATTGTTTACCTTATCTGAGTTCTGACAGACTTATAACTGAATAACAAAGCACCCACAAAGGCGGTAGTGTCTTCTAGTTTTTTGTAGTATGTATGAGTAAGCTTTATTTTCTGAAACGATTCTCTTTGTCCGGTGACATTAACACTGATTGTATTTGTGTGTTTCAGCTGCGCGGGATATAGGGAGCAGCCCCCAGGGTCAGTGGGTGTACATCAGTGATACCACGGTTCAGACGGTACCAGAGTCCAGGGTACTTAATTCTCAGGCATACCTGCTCTTCTATGAGGAAATGCTGTAATGTGACTAAAGTATTTTTTCCTATACATCTGTTTTGCCTTGTTTGTTTTGTTACATGCCAGTACTGCTCCTCTCATTGGATCTGTGAGTCGGTGGAAAAGGGAAAGACGACACTCACTTTCCTTACATGAGAGGAATGAACGTTTTCTTTTGCATAGGAATTGAATTATAATTTACTCCTCTAAATATATGATATGTAAAAGGCAAATATCAAAGCAATTATTTTTCTGATTTGTTGAAGCCCAGATCTTTGTTTTATTTTTTTTATTTTTTTTTTTAAATCCTTCCCTTTAAAAGAGGGCTAGAGAAAAGAGAGTTATCTCCTGCTGTCACGATCACGTGCTTGAGATATGAACTGCATGAGGGAGTGTAACAGTAATTAACAGGAAACAAGTGGAATTAATGCATGTTTAAACTGTGCTCAGCACTGACTAGTTGATGTCAATTGTGTGTGTGTATGTGTGTGTTTGTGCACACATGTTTAAGTGAAAGAATGAGTGAGAGACAGGAGAATGTAGATTTAAGGTGCTATGTGTATCACTTGTACATCAGTTAACCATTGATTAGCACACTAAACTTTAAGGAGTATGGTTGTAAGACTTAGTTACATAAACCCCATCATGATGCAGATCTGCGTCTCACATGCGGCTCACATTTGTTGAAAAGTGAGCTTGACGATGGCAGACGAGAGATCGTAAGAAACGCAGAGAGAATAATGAACTCAGACATGTTAGTCTTTTTTCAGTAAACAGTATGATGCATGAGGAAAAGTAGCCGTGTCAGTTGTGACAGAGTGGTTCAAATGTTTGAGAAAAATGAGCGCCATGTGGTGTTAAAAAGAGATTAGTCTTTGTCCTATTTATTTATAATGACATTTACATACTGGTTTGAAATGTGACACAGAGCACCTTAAAGGAATAGCACAACTGTTAAGTTACAGCCTACTTTGAAAGGATTGTTCTTTTCTATATCAGAATGTATACCTGTAAGACTATCAGTGAATTTCATTTGCCAAAGACAAGTTTTGTAACTGCAAGTCAGAGCAGAAGTTCCAAACCGACAACAAATTGAGTTTTTTTCTTCACACACACTTTCATTCATGTTTGTTCTCTCAAGGTCGTCTGTAAAGTGTTGTTGCGCCAAACCAATGGACTCAATGTTTTTCAAACCAAGAAAGCACCCTGTCTGCCTTCGTTGTACTTTAGCTCTACGGTAACTTTTAGCAGATGTGCATACAGATCTATTAAGATGTCCAACAAAGAGCCACAGAGTGACTCTAAATTCCTCAGACTCAAGGGCTCTAAGCCTGACTCCCAAAACTTTTCTTTTTGTCATGTGCATGGGTTGAATCTTCTAATGGTTATATTGCCTGTTCTTGAAATGTCTGTCAAATGAGCTCTTCATCTTTTTTTCTGAAAGTATTTTAAGTGAAAACATTTTCTTTCTCATTGGACAATTGCCAAAAACACGTAGAAGGGAAAGCATTGAACATCTGAATCTAGACGCTTTTTTTTCTTTGCAGATGAGACGAGGATAAATACAGTGCCTGTACTTCAGGTTTGAGAAACCTATGCATGGTGAAAAGAAAAACATATGCATAGATAAATGCAAAGAGGGATATGTGTGTAATACTTCTATACAGTATGGTTTACTGTAAGCAGAGAGTATATATTTAACTATACATACAAGAAACAAAACCATGGTGCTTCAGGCGTGCAGGGTTTTCCTGAAGAAAACATGTGAGTTTGGTTAGGAAGTGATAAACATTTGGAATACCTACATACTATATCAAAATAAATCTAATTTATGAACTGGATCTTCCTCAAGACTCCTTTCCTTTCCTGTTTGAGCCTCTCTGCTGCCAAAGCTCTAGTGGAAGAGAGATGAGAGATCACAAGGGTGGCTTTTGTAGTTTCTGCTTTGGACTTGATGTCATCCTGTTTTTACTACAAGTGAGATGCTGTCCAGCAGAGCTCTCGGCTGTCACGTTTGCTCCCATGGTGCCATATTCCACCCATCGTCACCGGTGATAGGCCCTGACGGGTGCAAAGCAGCACTGCTTCAGAACATGTCGCGAGCTGGTGAAGAGGAGGTGGATGTGGAATCAGGAAAAGGGCAACGTCCAAAATCATCCCCTTCTACGTCCTCTCGTCCCCATATGCTGTGACATCTGAGTCATGCTGCTAGAACATTAAAACAGGTTGTCAAGCCACCACCAACAAAAGAGGAAATCTTTTCTGAAATGTATTTGTCTATTTTTAAAGCAGGGGGGGACGGGGGGTGGCTTTTGGCTCGGGGACATGTAGCTAAAGGATTTGATGTGATTTAATCTCACTTAATGAAAGGCGCTCTATCCACCCCGTGTATTAGATAAATATACTGGAATGTTTATTGAAGTACTCCTACAGTTTCTACCAGCAGTGTGGGTTAAATGTTACTGCTCTCACCCAGGAAGCCTTTTGAACTCCCAACATACTGACCCAGCATTACCACACAACACAGCCACTACCTTTTCTGGTGCAAATATCTACACACATGCCTCAGGCTCTACTTCTCATGGTGGACATGCATCACTTCTTATTAACACCCACATTAAACATGACAGAATGCTAATCAACACCTACAAATAACTCTTTCCAAAAAACACAGTTTGTGATTTTATTTTAAAAAAGGTTTTAGGAAAATGATGACGCATAATAAGGGCTACAGGGAAACTAGATATCAGGGGCCATATTCATAAAGCTTTCTGGTGTAATTAGTTTCTCTTGGTGAAGAAATGAAAATGCTTAGAATCATGACCTTTTCAAATAGTTTCCCCTTAAAGTTCAAACTAGATCCAGGTAAAGAAAGTTATTCACAAAGCATCCTAGCCTTTTTCAGAGCTCCTCGGGTGAAAATCTGTTGGAGGAGTAGTGAGGAGGACTTTTAAGATTTTCTCAAGCAGAGGAGAAAATGGCTGGAAAACGGTGAGATATAGGAAATGTTCTCCAAACACTGAATGACAGTGAATGAATGAAGTGCAACAGCTTGGATCGTGCAGGGATCATGTTTGTGGTAGATCTCTTTAGATCACTACCACCCAATGCAACAACAAAAACTGAAGTATTCACAACATAAAGATATTTAGCAACTGGAAGAATGCAACAGTGCAGCAGTGATGGCGTGGGTCTGTCACAGCCGTCAATCATCAGTGAATCACGCAAACTACAGCCCTGCCACAGCCTCATTAATACTAGAATTGCCAGCATTGAAAATAAACATGAGCAAATAAATGTAACCATCAGCATGGGAGGAGGTTACTTTGTTATTTTCTTTACTTGGAAGTCCCACCGAGAGTAAAAAAATCTCGAGATGTGGCCAAGGTAGCGACCAAACACACTCAAAAACACATTAAAAAAACAACATGAGAAAATAAACTACATAAACACCACTACATGGGGAAAAAAACATTTGAAAAAAGGTAGGATATCAAAATACACGTCTTTCATGAAAAACATCCACATGCCTCTGTCACCACCTTCTTTATGCTCTCACCATTGGTTAGTGATATCAGTGTGTCTAAGTTTAGCTCTTTTCAAAGATTATTGCATGCCCATTGTGCAAATCTTTTTTTTTTTGCACCAATACTGAATGAAGAATATTCTTATTGAATCATAGTGGGCCTGAACATACAAAACTGTTTATGCAGACATTTCAGTCCATCTCAGCCTTTTCAGTACAAAGTGAGACATGCAGGTTTTCTCCACAGGTGCATTAAGGCCCTTTATACTGATGTAACCCTCAGCATGTAAAGAGCCTGCTGTGACAAGTGGACGTGGTTATATTAATAGTATGGCTTTATATTCAACAGAGATGTTAATTAATGTCTGATTATATTTTATGATGGCGCCAATAGATTTCACTCTCCTTCTATGTCCATCATCACTAAGAGAGCACTTCTTTTCTCAATTATTTGGAGCAACCAATAACAGCTTAAGATAAAGTTTGTCATAGCAACGGGGTCAACCACGCCTCCTCATTTATATAAAAATTAGTTGCTCTGAGAATATACCTAATTAACTCTTAAGCGAGGATTTTTCTGTTTTTGTTTTTCTGTTTTTTTATGTAGTTGATTGTGTCTTGTGTTTTTACTGCCGTGTCTGTAAGTTGACCTTGAGTGACATGAAAGACGCCATAAATAAAATGCATTATTATTCATTTTCTAACCTTACCTGGAGTTCTCTGAGAGGATTCTCAGAACACTGTGAACGTAAGCACAGGTATTGCAGGTGCAGTTACAGTCTGTTTGCTGAAACTCAAACCTCAGTCTGTTATACTGAGCTATCATTTAGCTTACATTTCGTGTCATGTCCTTCAAAATGTTATTGTTATAACATTAAATGGTGATGGTAAATGGACTTGAGCTTGTATAGTTCTTTACTACTCAAAGCACTTTTAATCTGCATGTCACACCTACTCATTCACACACTGATGGTAGTAGTGAGACCATCAGAAGTAACTAATCCCATTCATACGCTGCTGATGAGGCAGCAAGAGCAAAGTGTCTTGCCCAAGGACACATCGGACATGTTGCTGCAGGAGCTGGAGCCACAGTCGCCCCTCATTACCATTGATGTGTATTCAGGAAAGAAAACCCTAGCTCTGGTGTGTTGCTGTCTTCCAACTCAGACCGGCAAGCTTTTAGAAATACACATGGTAGAATAAACTGACTACTAACCAGACTAAACAACAGCCTTGTGATCCTAAAAGGCCCGAGTCTTGATGTGTTCTCACTTCTCTTAATTTCATTTATCAAAATATGCTTTTGTGTCCCCCACCTTATGAACTGATTCTTTTATTTTGCATCTGCCTTTCTTTTAATCATACTACCATTTTCTGTTCAGACGCACTGTGTCAACAAGTATTTTATATTTCAGTTGATATTAATCAACAAATTGAGATCATTTCAACTGAATAAAAGTAGCAACACAACCACTTACACATGCCTTAGTATAATTAAAGGTCCTACACTTCAATGAAGCAACCAACTTTTTGTTACTATATGGCGTCAAATCACAACACAAGTTATCTCATGACACCATAAGATACAGAACAGGTTAAAGCCATACTTTATAATTATATTTACAGAGACCCAACTTTGATTCTCAAATAATACTGCAATGGGAAAATGCTTGCACAAAAAAAAAACCTTTGGATAGGCTGGAACCTGAAGCAGGACAAGACTTGTAGACAGTCATCTGCTGTAACATGATGGACAGACAGGCAGACAGACTATTAATAATGATGACGCAAGTAAGACTGATAATAACTAATGTAGCATTTGGAGTTAATCAGGTCAACTATGCACAAGAGAGATGACAGGAGCACAAACATTGGGGGAATGCATATTGATGGAGAGAGGGAAGGGGACAGGTCTGGACCTCAGTGTGTCCCCATGAAGTCTAAGCCTTTAGGGAGATAACTATAGGAGCTGGTCATAGGCAAGCTTAAGCCAGCTCTGACTATAAGCTTTATGTAAGAGAGTAACATTCTCAGTGTATACCCAGAACCTTACCTGTAGACTTCCTTGGGAGAAGGGCATGATAGGGGAAAGCTTTACCCCCATTCCACTCTTCTTAGAGACTATAGGAACACAAGCAGGCCTGCATAACTCTATGGCCTGCATTCTGTGAGTGCAATAATCAAAGGGTAATGGGGCTCTGATATGTTGCAGCCTTCTCATTGAGACAAGAAGTGAATGATTTTCTTGCAATTTTAGGGGGAATAAGGATGTTCTTTAAGTTATTTAGATGGGAACTGGAGTTCATAACCTGATGAAATATAAGTCTCAGGTTTCTTTTGGTGGTGCCACTTTTTGGTGATCTTGATTAAATAGTGTCTCCTGATATCCTCTGACTGTCGCTCAACTGTGTGTTTTTGGAATAATTAAACTTCACCCTGGTCTCTTTTGCTTTTGTCACTCACATAGAACAATCAGTATTATTTTCAGTCATTTTTGTACTTGGCTAAATCCTAGAAGCTTTATTGCATTCTTTGAGTTAACTGTTTTTTTGTGGCTTGATTAATAAGTATTATTGAATTTTATCTGCAAAACAATATAAAATATTTATGAACACATTCATAATAATAATAATACATTTAATTTGATACGCACTTTACATTTTTGCAAAAGAAATCTCAAAGTGCTACAGAAAGAAAAAAAAATAGAAATAAAAACAAATTTAATCAACTAAGCAACTAATGAAACTAAAAGCACAAGCAGAAGTCTTTGTTAAAGAGGTTTTTAGGGCCCTTTTAAAGGCGTCAGCAGACTGTGGAGCCCTCAGCTGCTCGGGGAGAGCGTTCCACAGACTGGGAGCAGAGGAGCAGAAGGCCCGGTCACCCATGGTGTGGAGTTTAGTCCTGGGGGGATGGAGGAGTTTGGTGTTTCCAGAGGAGGATGTGGGTGAGGAGTTCTTTGAGATAGAGGGGGGCATTTCCATGGGTGCACTGGTAGGTGAGAAGGGTGACTTTGTATTGAATCCTGAATGAAATAGGGAGCCAGTGTAGTGTCTGAAGGATGGGTGTGATGTGTTCATATTTACGCACCCTCATCAGGACCCTAGCAGCGCTGTTGTGGACATGTTGGAGCTTCTGGAGGCTCTTGCTAGGGATCCCGATGAGGAGTGCGTAGCAGTAGTCCAGCCTGGAGGAGACAAAGGCGTGGACGAGTTTCTCTGCATCTGAGAGGGAGAGTGTAGGACGGAAGTTTGGCAATGTTTCTGAGGTGGTAGAATGAGTTTTTGCACAGATGTTTAATGTGGGCTTCAAAGTTCA